TTGATCGTGTATAAAATATACACGCCCATTTATTCTGAAACCTCAGCACTATGAAACGAGCATTGCGGTACATCGAAGTCAGCCTTTTTTGATTTATTATTTCATGCTTCTCCATTGTGGAATTATATAGATTTACAGCACTGTAAAATCTTATCTATTTGTTCCGGTGACAATGCCCTTAAAGAAATACAAAGCCTCAAACGGTCCTTTTTCAGATATTCATAGATTATTTTTAATTTCAAGGAACCAAGAAATGCACTCATATGTCTCCTACCATTGGTGAGTTTGCGTATCGAGCCATTTTTCAGTATTTCCTGGTTTATTTTACTCAGTTCAGTTTTGGTTGGGCTGATTAGTCGAAATAAAGTATTAGTGTAATATTTATTGTCCTTAATAGTTAAAAATGCATAGTTACCTCATAGTATATGGGTCTGTCGTTTACACCTAGTTTGGATTTTCGTCTCCTCGTTTAGACTTTTAATGTGTAAATTCGGTGCGCACACACAAAGAGAAAAGATATATATATATATATATATATATATATATATATATATATATATATATATATGGGAGAACGATGTATAAATTTGTATATATCAAGAACTGTTTCGTGGGAAAGGTGTATAACGAAGTGGAAAAATAAACTACGTCCTAAGGAACGAAACGCGTCACAGGGAAACATTTTCCACTTTATCATACACCTTTCCTCTCTCCCTCTCTCCCTCTCAGTCTGTCTGTCTCTCTCTCTCTGTCTGTCTGTCTGTCTGTCTGTCTCTCTCTCTCTCTCTCTATATATATATATATATATATATATATATATATATATATAAAATTAGAAAAAGTAATTCCCATTTCTCTGTTTATTTTTCGATCCGGTGATGTAGGACACAGGCGTGTCCGAAAATTCAGAACAGAAAACCTTTCTCTCCGTTCTCTATTTCTGTTATATGGTTAATAATTAATATTTAATAAATGTTTATTGGTACCCTTTCGTTTGTCCTCGTTTTATAACCTGGCCTATCTATTATATATATATATATATATATATATATATATATATATAGTGGGGAGCAAAAGTATTTAACACATTGTTTTTTCTTACATATCTCAAAAAATAACAGATCAGTTTCAACGAAACTTATAGGAAATATTTAAACGAACATTGTCGATCAAAACCTAGACGGAAAATTTAAAACCACTGTTTTGAGAAATATTTATTAACAATAAATTAAATAACTCATGTGCAAAAGTATTTAACACACTTTACTAATATTTAGTACAGTAGCCTCTGTTCTGTTTCACAGCCTCCAATCGTTTCCCGTAGTCTTCAACTAGTTTCTTGCAGGTACATGTTGGTATTTTGACCCATTCTTCTTCACAAGTTTTCTTCAATTTGTTTAAATTCGATGGATTTCTTTTATGAACTCGTAACTTCAATAGTTTCCACAAATTTTCGATTGGATTTAAATCCGGTGACTGGCTAGCCATTCCAGGACATTATTGTCATTATTATTAACCAAATTCTTAGTTGTTTTAACAGTATGCTTCGGGTAATTGTCTTGCTGAAATACAAAATCACGACCATGTCCCAAAGATGCGGTACTGTTCAAGGGTTGAGTTGTTAAAATTTGAGTGTATTTTGCAGCATTCATTGTTCCTTCGATGATTTTTATTTTTCCTACTCCATTTGAGGAAAAACAACCCCACATCATAATATTTCCACCCTCATGTTTGACTGTAGGGATGGTATTTGCTGGCTCGTATTCCGCTCCTTTTTTCCTCCATACATGAGTGCGCATGTTTCGTCCGTAAAGCTCAATTTTCGTTTCGTCTGACCAAATTACTTTCTCCCAGAAATCATTTGATTCAATTTCATATTTCTTTACAAAATTCAAATGGGCTTGTACATGTCGGCGTTTCAGTAATGGAGTCTTTCTCGATGATCTTGAAGTGAGACCTGCACGATTCAGTGATCTTTTAATTGTATCTTTACTAACTTCAATTCCGGCATTTTTCAAATAATTCTGAATTTCTCGACGAGTTGAAAATGGATTCTTCTTCACAGTACGGGAAATGTATCGCTCATTAGCCTCATTTAAGATACAGGGACGACCATTCCTTTAAATGTTTTCAATAGTATCGAATTTTTTTCCATTTTCGAACAACAGCACCAACTGTACTCACAAGCAAATTCAAATCTTGAGCGATTTTTCTATATCCGTTACCATCTTTGTGATTCTTTATGATCTTCTTGCGCATGTCGTAGTGGCAACAGAATAGCTGCAGTGTCTCAGAGCTGTTATCTAATAGCCGGTTGAGTGCCGTGCGGTGCTGTCATTCGTCGACATATCACATCATATCAATATGGGTAGGAATCATGACGACACGTCTCTTCTAGCATAATATTTGCATTGGTGTTAAATACTTTTGCATATGGGTTATTTTATTTATTGTTAATAAATGTTTCTCAAAACAGTGGTTTTAAATTTTCCTTTTATTTTTTGATCGATAATGTTCGTTTAAATATTTCCTATAAGTTTCGTTGGAATTGATCTGTTATTTTTTGAGATATGTAAGAAAAACCAATGTGTTAAATACTTTTGCTACCCACTGTATATATATATATATATATATATATATATATATATATAACTATATATATATATATATATAACTATACGTCTGTGTGTGTGTGTCTGAGAATATAGGGATAAAAGCTAGCGAATCATTAAATAAGGAACAGCCAGGAATACTTTTTCTAAATTCAATATTTTGCTATTTTTTTAGTTTTATCGAAGATTTTGAGGCGAAGTAGAAAAGTTGTAAATTTGAAATATAACCCGATACACATGTATACGCATACAAAAACACATATATAATTTTGGCAATTCCTAACATATCTGTTTTATTTTTTCTTAGAATAGCTATAATTTGAACTTTGAGAGAAAGTTTTGTTGTATTTATCTTTTTTATTCTCTTGTTTTCTAGTCTCTCCAATTTTTTTACAACATTTTAAACACAAATATTTGTTTTCAATACTTCATTAAAGATTATGAAACATAAAATTTGAATACATAAGCTTTTATTTCATTCGTTTATTTCTTTTATATATATATATATTTTTATTTAATCAGGGACTTTTTTGTAGACTCGAAAATGAACTCTATCGACTTTTTTTGCCAATATTGAAAAAAAGAAGCCGACAGTGACGGACACAGAAGAATAACTTCGCTTACCTGAGCAGTGACCCTGAAGACTTTCTTTTTGTTTAGAAAATTGAAAATGGATGACCGCTTCAGACACTCTGCTCTATTTCGCCTGCCTTCATACCTTCAAAGCGGAATAGGTCAATCAACATTGTTGACTTATAATGAAAAAATATATCCACTGATACATATACACCGATGTACCAAAATTCATAAGAGAGGCATTTAGTATCATTTACGGTCGCCTTTAGACCAGCGAAATACAGCAACTCGGTGGGTTATCGATTCCCCAAGTAGTTGGAAGACCTCTGGGGAAAGGTTAAACCTTGTCATCTCGATAGATGTTCACATTTTCTTGTATAAATTCTGCGTGCGAATATACCTAATCACAATGTCCTAGAGCTCGACTGGATATGCTAGTGGAAGTTCGCTGCTTTCTCAAACCTATGCAGAGCAACTTGTGTCCGATCACATAGAGTATTGTCATGATACCGAACAAAAGACTATAGCAAACTTAGCGGCCCCCATTCCGTAATACGTTCAGGTCCAAATTATACCAGATGAAGACGTCCTACTTAATTATGGAGCCACCAACTATCGGCATTTCCCTTTGTTGACAATAGGGATTAATAGCCATATTGGGTCTGGCGCACACACACAAAAACATCCTTTTATCGACAGTCCACCAAGGTTAAATCAGTAGATGAGTAAATGTATATTGAATATTTCTGCCTGATACCTCTGAAATGCATCTAGAGATTCCTGACAAAATTCAAAGAAAAATCTGCAATGTTATCATTCAAAACCTAGTATCTCTGATTCAGTCAGTTCCCAACGCCAGAAGTAGTTTTCATGTGTTTTTGTTTTTTCTAGAAATATTTTCATGATAATTGTTGCAATGAACGTTTCTCTTTGGTATTTAGACATGATTGGCAGAAACTATCTCAACATTTTACTGCTGAAATTACTAAGTGTAACTGTAATTTCTATGCTAATGCTTTCTTTCAAATTTTACTTTTGGAACACTCTTCCGTCTCCTTGCTTTCATCTCAAATACGATCTTGAAAAAATGACATACAACGTTAGTCATCATATGTCTCCTTAAATCCCGTCCTTTCATTTTCCCCTCTCCTCAATAAGTTTCTCTTAGTTTCTTTCAGTTAGTAACCTCACTGGCCTCATAGTGGACTTGCTTAAGAGGGAATTTTGGATTTGGTAGATCTTCTATTCCAATATTCCATAGAACCAGAAAACGATCTGCTGGCTATGTGTTATGGAGTGATTTGACAGTGGAGGCTTGTATTTGTACTAAGTCGGTCCTAAAATAGGTTCGACGTACAAAACGTTAGGAACTTGATATAATAGGTATAACGGAGAGTAATCTAGTTGTGGTCGCTGATACTGTAGTATTCGACTAACTGTCGTCCGACATCGACTGACTGACCAACGATATTTAGTCACCCCCACGAGGGCATCATGTGGCACAAGGACGGTTTAACGTGGGATCTCCGAGCCCGTGGGCTCGGCGAAAAATATGAACATTGAACCCGTATAAACGGGTTCAGGGTCGGTTTACCTCCCCGAAAGAGAGGTAGCCTCGTTCGGGTTCCTCCCCGCCCGAAGGCAGAGAGTTCAACCGATCAGCCGGTCGACTGGCTGACCAACTCACTGAGCGACTCTTACTACTCCTACTTATTATAGGTGGGAGAGTCTATTAACTATAGAATAGGTGTGTTCCACTATAACACTATGCACCTGATAACACTGTATTTATTGCGGATGGTATACGAATCGATGTTATCTGTCTCTAAAAATCACAACGAAGTGCGTATGTTCATGAACATAAAGGAATCGCGGTTCGTTACAGCGCCGTTCACGGTGGGCGGTAATACTTTTGGTCAAGTTTTCCTACTACACAGGTAAAGCGCCTAGATAGTCAGTCTCAGAATTCCTGGCAATACCAGGAGTGAAATACTTAAATCCTTTGGTAACTAATACCATTTCTCGCTCAATGTCCGGAATGCCACCTTATCAGGAGCAGGCTCGTTAATGTTTAAGATGATTCATCACATTGCAGAACACATCTGATATAGATCTGTCAATTTTTGAAGTCAATGGCTAGGTGCGATGGCATTTATATTATGCTAACCCATAATATTTAACTCGGCACTTCATTTATCAATCTTAGATTTTAAATATCTATCTGGCTACGTATCTTAGTCTGTAAATTATCTATCTATCTATCTATCTATCTATCTATCTATGTCTGTACACACCTATCTACCCATCTGCACATATCTGTATATCGATCTTTGTCTGTACATATCCCTCTGTCTATATATGTGTGTCTTAGTCAGTATGTATCTATGTATCTAGCTAGTTGGCTAAGATTCTGCCTTTGCATATCAATGTCTTTATCCAGCTCTATGTAACTCTTGGTGTTAATACAACTCTACCCATATCTATCTGAATATACTTTCATAAGTCTTCATGGGGATACATAGTTATTACGTGAATTTGTTTCCAATATATTCAATGTATAATGTTCAATATATACGCTTTTTATTTACCACCGAGTTACGTACAGGATAAAATTATGTTGAAAAATACATTTATATTGTGTATAATAAATCTGTCTGATTCAGGAGATATTGAATTCATATGTATATGAATCAATATAAATAAATAATAATGCATGTATATGTAATATATGTATATGCAATATATGTATATACATATATTGCATATACATGCATTACATATATTACATATATACATATTATATACATACATTTATACATATATATATATATATATATATATATATATATATATATATATATATGAAGAGGTAGTTTCAGAAAAGGAGATACAGAGACACAAATGATAAATAAACAAAGAAAAACAATGCGTTTTTCTCCATTATTTATTTCTAGAACTTTTTAGTCGCTGTTTATATAAACTGATCTTCTCACACCTCTTCAGAGATGAATTATTCTTTCGATATTCCAGGAATTGCGATAACATCAGTTGAACCTGAATTCTTTGGGGAGTGTTGTATAGAGTTCTGCCGAAGGAATGTGTTTAAGAAATGAAATGTAGTGTAAATTTTGACAGATACATCAAACTAATTTCAAATTCTCAAACAGACTTTGACGTTTCATACTGGTGCTGGTGGGGAAGAGGAAAAGATTATTATTAATGTGTGTGGTATGTATTAATTTTAATTCGCCCAGTTTTCTATCTATGAATGTCAATGACGGAATACTTTTGTCAGTATAAATGGCGACCGGGAAGCGTGTAGGGCGAAGATAATTCATGCCTTTCCTAAAATAACAATGTGGGTAAAGGATATAGGAGGATAATTTAAGAGTAAGGATTAAGAATGAAAAATCTCCTTACTAATAAAAAGCAATACAGGTTTTTGAAATATATATTTGACAGGATATTTTGACGGTCATCATCCCGCAAGAAAATAGAAAATTATTTCATCCCAATCAAGGCAATAAAGCGAATAAGACGCAAGAGATTACTGATGGTTAGAGAATATGATAAAACAAAAAACAGCATTCAGTGGGTTAAGTGCCATCGGGATTCATGAATGACGAGGCAGAAAATTTTTCCGCAGTAGGTTGACATTTCTTTTTGCGATAAACTGGTTGCCAAACAAGGCTATAGGACCGAGTCTTTCCTGCTATTCAATCGATATCTGGGAGAAAAGAAATGGATTCATATCTTTCCTAAGGGTATTTTTGCGTACGTGAATAAAATTATCTCTACTGAATTCGAGTATTTAAGAGAGAGAAAAATTAAGAATTAAGAATTAAGAACAAAACGTATGGATACCAAAGAGACAATAAAAAAAAAAACGTGGAAAGAATAATAATATTGACTGTGCAAACAATTTTCGAGTACGATGTCCCACTGCTAATTTATCTCACACTGGTTCAATAGCATAGTGAAATAAAAAAAAATCTCACTGAAAAAAACAAAATCTCTTTTAATATACTGTGTATTTTCAGCGTCTTCATTAAAATTGTTACATTAAAATACATACGTTCTTGTTTCAATACTTTTCTGTTCGGAAGCCAATTAAATATAGCTCCTTGTTAGCGGATCAATTCATTAGGTAGTTTCTCCAGACTATACTGCAACTGATAAGATCAGGAACATGGCGTGCTATATTCTTTGGAAACTGAAAACATGTCGAGAATCCCAATGAGAACAGCACCCTCTGACCCCTTTATGTTGTTGGTAAGACAAAAACTATAAAAATGAAAATGATTAAAAGAAAACACTCCCAGAATGGCGGAAATCCTTGCCCTATAAAATTTGTTACTGTGTGGACAGAGATCAATTATTTTATTAGTTCGTTAAATTAATTTGTAAAAAAGGCGCTAGGAACTAAAGAATCATTGGAAAAATCCGGACATTTGAGAAAGGCAGTAGAAAATTTTGGGTGAATTGAGGATCTGGATCAAAATATAAATAATGCAGAAATAACCTTATTGAGGTTAACGAAAATTCTTAATATTAATGTTAAAGTATGGCATAAGGTCAAAAAGCAGATGCAGGATGATTAACAATATATTATGTCAGGCATCCAAGGGTAGATTTTCTCTGACTCATGCACTCAATATTTATTAACAGTCATAAATATTTGTTCCATCCAAGAACGTTTCATTTTGTCTTCTTTCTTGAATCACCAATTCTTCCAAACTTTTACCATTGTTTTTTTTTTCACCTGGAAATGAGGAAGATTTTATTGAATATAAAACAGAGTAACAAAGCAAATCTCTTATCAACCTGTCTTCTTCTCTCTCTCTTTCTTTCTTTCTTTCTTTCTTTCTATCTATCTATCTATCTATCTATCTATCTATCTATCTATCTATCTATCTATCTCAGTCTATTAATATACAAACCGCTGAATTTATTACGTAAATACCGTAAACCTCAATTTGCATAAAACTCGAATTTTTTGTCGAAAATTTTTGTCAAATTTTAAAGGATAAATTTATATGTCAAAACAAAGCTTATGTTATATTTTTAGGGAGTTACAACGTGTTATATTAAAATTAAATGCAGTCATAAGTTATACAGATTAAAATAATATTAATTAAAGACCTGTGAATTCTAATATTTAAAAAAAATTTTTTTAATATATGTTGAAATGTGGGAAATGGAAATGATTTAACAAAAGTTAAAAAAAAAAACAGAAAATAAAGTTATTGACTTAGTTTATGTGTCCATTTGTGGTATTAGAGATTCTTCACAGATCATCGATCGATTAAGAGCGATGTTAAAATATAACAAAGTTGCGAACTCGAAACAAAGGAAAAGACTTTATGAACTTTTGCCTCCTAGACGGGAACAAAAGCGAGTTTTAATAAAATAATCACTTTTTACCAGTGGTCAGGTCTATAAACAGGCTGGAATTGATGGAGTCAAGAACTACAAATGTGTAGAATACTTGGCAAATTAGGATCTATCAAGAAATCTAGTAAAGCAAAAAGCATGAATATTGGGCGAAGAAACAAATGAATATTGACATTTTGCAAGGAAATTTCACGGAAGAATCTCGAGGAACACTCGATGGACATGAAGCATAGGCATGATGGAAGGACAACAAGAAAGATTTTAATCACTGCTGATGTACCTTTGGCTATAAGAAGGCAGCATGGAGGCAACAGTGTGATGATATCTGCTGAAATTGTCGACCAAATCTAATGTCAATGAAGGAGTTAAAATGAACAGTAGTAACTATTGCAATTTCGTGGAAAAGAGTTATATTGAATGGTACATAGCCCAGCCACGGAGATTTTTTTTTTTAAAGTGCGTATTTATGAACCTGTTGTAGTAAAAGAAATTAAAAATCAATGAATAATAGATTGCTTGTTTTAATGAGAAGTAGGTAACTATATTGAGATATAAATGCTTAAAAAAATTAGGAAAAGCGATTGTTTTTAAATTTCAAGTTATATTTGTATTTAAAAAAAGATTAGTTAAATAAAAATTAGCAGAGGCAGACATTACTTATGGGCAAAATTAGTCGTGTTGAATATTTGTTTTATTTTATTTAAATTAATTTTCAGAAAAATAAGACCGCATAATCTTTTGCTTTAATAAAACTTAAATAAAAATTATTGTATTTTTTGTTAGTTACAAACCAAAAAACAATGATGTTCATTTTTTAAATTATGAATAAAATTATTTTCCTCAAGATAGCCGAAAAATAATAGTAACTCAATAATTCACACACAAAAATGTTAAACATTGTAGTTTTACACACACACACAAACACACACACACACGAATATTTGAATAAATAAATATTAAAATTTTTGTCAGATAATTGTATTTAATTATCTTCTTCTTTTAAATTTACATTGTTGTTTTAATATTCATTTTGGAAGTTACGCTTTTATTTACTATAGATGTGAAAATGAATTCACGAGAACAGAATTGACTAAATATATACATGTATAGCGTTTTGGCAATCCTAATCTGGAATAAAATTAATACCGTTAATTTTTACTTTTTTTAATTCTGAGAAAATCGAATTCATTCTAATTTTAAAATAATTTCGTAAATACAAATCAAACGAAGATAATTGTTAACAAAAAGCTGGTTTGGATGATAATGAGTCTGGATATATATTTGATTTGTCATTAATTATTGTAGTTTGTTAGTTTTATCCGGAAAGACATACAGAAAACTGCACTTTATATATGCAAAGATAGATGTCTGAAAAATATCTATAAATTTTCAATGATAAATTAATATTCAAATATTTTCCGAGCAATGCCGGGCATCCACTCTAGTCGCAACATATTGACCACTGTGTTCTTCGTCCTTCACGAGGTGCTTGTCGACCCGCGTAATGTTCAGTAATTTTCCAACTGAACACTTATTTAATCTTTGGGGGTAGATTGCAGCAGCAGTAGTCAAAACATGAAAAGCAGAAGCAGCAGTTTCATCACATATGAGGAGGTAGGTTAGGCTTAAGGCTCCATGTACACTGCAACAAATTGTCCTACGGGACAATGGCTTCTCGTGCATTAAAGTATCCCTTTGTCAATTTGTTGACAAAGTGATTGTGAGTGTGGGTCGAGCAATGTCTACTTAGACGAGTGAGCAATAATTTAACTGTACTAAAAATAAGAAATAGACGATATCCCGAGACATGGAAAGTGGAACTAGAACAGTCTACCCGGAGATTAAACAAAGGCTTCAGTTTAGAAATCCCTATAGCCTACCCAGATCGATATACACCTGATGATGACCAGTAGACACAAGACCTGAAACGTGATAACAGAAAAAATAGATGAAGGCAATATTCCAAAAATAAGGATTTTCGAAGATATAGCACAAGGCCGAAATATGGGACATCCAGTGAGGAGCGAACTCACTACTCAGTCGAAATTTTCCTATCAAGACAAGCTTGCTAACGATTACACTACCGAGAGGTGCCCGTAATATTCCAAATATAAATAGTGTAAAAATTACGCATTCTCCTGCTACTGACTCTAAGTGTCCATTACCTGACCCAGGGGAACTGAAATCACAGTTAATAAATTACAACATTGACGAACCTTCTATTTAAAAGACACTAGTCTTTGAGGATTAAAGTTTAAAATTCCCTGAATGTTATCAGGATCGACAAGCCCGTGATAAAAGCCGAAGAACGCAAGGGTCGAAACAATAACAAAGAGGACAAAAAGAGTCCGAGTATAAACAATAATGAAGCTCAACAAATTACTGCTTAGGCTATGGAATCACTGCTAATATAAAAGAGTTCTCGTCTACAATTATTGTCACTTGAATCGAAGATATGGCATAATACATGGCGTACATGAATGTAACAAGCGAGACATCTCTGAGAAGTAACAGCAAAAGTAGGGTTTAGCAACTGTCTGTCTAATTCTGAAGAGTTTATATGCAGTCGAATTTGAGATGCTCTAAACCTTTTTTATCTATGAATGTTTACCATTTCAAAACTGTCTTAATCAGCAGAGATGTTAGAATTCATCCATCAAATCAAAATCTGTTCTCAATTTGGAATGCCATTATAGGTTTTACGCCAAATGTCAACGATTTCTAATATTCAAATACACAAAATTGTTTTGCGAGTGCAAAAATCTCTTAAACCTGATAAAATTAAATCTTAAAATTGATTATTTCTATAGTTAAAATTGATATGTTGCGATCACCGTATCTTATATGTTGTTAATATTGATAGTATCTGTTATTCCTGTCGTAGACGATGACTGGGTTTAATCACCGTTTGGTAGATCTTCATAATGATCTTTGAACTTGACCAAATAAGACGAAGAAAAAGAACGCACAGTCTTTTTATAAAATTTTAATTTGGAGTGAATTTGGATCAACAGTTATAATACTAATCAATAAAGCTATTCTTTTATCATAAAAAACACAATGTCATTTATATTTGCTTTCTTATTTCTTTGCTAAAGTAATTTCCTGTTTCCATATCCGTTTTGCCAAGCGGTTGCATTCTAGTTCTGTCATCTTTCAATATGCCGTTGTTTTTCCCGTTTGTGCTTGAGTTTTGATGCCTTTTACTTGATTTATCATTTTATTGCTATAAAGTTGATCTTAGTTTGTTTTTTTTTAAGATCGGCCATAATGCATTGTTGAGGCAGACATATTAAGAAATGGGCAGTGAGTAGAGCTAAAATAAAAAACGGAAATGAATGATTTCAAAAAAATGATTTCAAATAACAAAAAACAAAATTTCATAAAAGAAATTATTAAAAGTAAAATATAATTTTCGAAAAACGAAGTAATAATTGCCTTTTGTTGGGGTATGACAAAGTCGGTATTTGTAACCAATTTCATTTAATAAGAATTAATTAAAAACATCAAAATACAGGAATAATAATTCATTAAGAACAGTTGAATTAAGCAGCTGTATTAATTTCAAAAGAAGAAGGGGAGATTTATGCATTTACAGGGGAAAAGATGTGTCGGATTATTTAAGTTAATTTTTCAAAAAACATTCAAAATTTAATAATTTCTTTAAATTATGTGATAAACACTTCCCTAAAAAAAGTAAACTATCAAAAATCGTTAATAAGTAAACAATAAAGATCAGCTTCATTTGTATGAATAATATGGAGAATATGACAAATAAACCTAATAAAAATACTAAACAAAATTAACAATTCTGAAAGAACAAATCAGAATGATAACAAAACTTGTAATTGCCGAAATAAAAATAATTGATAATAAATGTTTAACCAATAATATAATACATAAAGCATTTGTATCAAATAATATTAACACAGTACAAATAATATATAGGAGCTACTGAAACAACATTTAAGGAATGATTTAAAAATCATTAAATTTCATTTAAATTAAATACGCAAACAACATAAGATTATCAGAATATACATAGACTCAAAAAAAAAAAGATACTAACAAAAATCAAATGGAAAATAATAAAATAGTCCAAATAATATAAAAATAGAACATGTAAATTATGACTATAAGAAAAATTACATATAATAAATTTTAAAAGTCAAATTAAATTATTACACACAAAAAAATGAATTAATGAGTAAATGTAGACATTTTAACAAATATCTACTTTGCAACTTGAGCACCAACACAACATAATTTTACATAATATTTAACAAATATCTAATTTTAATTTTGATGTATATAAAAGGTGGAATCATATATATATATATATATATGATTCAACATTATATATGTGTGTAGTGTGTGTGAGTGTGAGTGTGTGCGTGTGTGATATATAAAAGTATTAGAAAAAATAATATAACTAAAATTAATTTTTAAAAAATAAAAATAATTAAATAACAATAATTTATGTTTTAAATATAATATACATGGGTACGTGTATATATACAAAAGACAAGAATGAAAAGTAATAATTATGAAATACAAAAGATAATAGTTAAATAATAGACAAAGGAAAAATATACAATAGAGGAACAATTATATTCGAGGTGTGCTCTTGTAGAAATGATACATTTATGAGCGAGCATGTGAGCGCGTGTCGAAGCATGAACATACACATGTCTGTTATGTTTGTCTATTAGAAATCTTGTGGAGAATTTGCGTTTATGAACGAACAGAAGAACGCGCGAACGAACACCTACATGCGAGCGTCACTGACAGAGCGAAAAAAAAAAACAGAAATAAAAAAAATCGGACATTTATTAACAAATCTTAAAATTGGAACTACATCACGAAACTGCAAAATCGGGATAATAATATTCAACTACGGATGAATTAATTCATATTAAGTATTTTTTTCTATTATAAAATTATTATTTACGCTCTCTTATAATCTAACTATTGAGCACTTAAAAGTGCTCAATAGTTAGGTTATAATAGAGCGTATATAATTTTAATTTTAATTGTAATTAATTAATGATTTTAATTATAATTAATAGCACGTAGATAATAAAAAATCCGTTTTTAGAAAATTACTTCTTATCTATCTATCTATCTATCTATCTATCTATCTATATATATATATATGTCTCTTTTCTGTCTATCTGTCTATCTGCACTTACGTGCCTTGGGAAACGTATGAATCTTATTCTTCTCCACCCAGGCATGGGTAAATAGCAGGACAGACCGTCTTCTATAGCCTTGGATGGCAGCTGGTCTACCGCCGAAAGAAACGGCAACCTACTGCGGGAAAAAAAAACCTCCTCAGTCATGTATCGAAAGATACATAATCGCTTAAGCATGTATCACGCATGGCACATAACTGACTGATGTTGTCATGTCTATCTGCCTATCTCAGTCTGTTCATATCTATCTATCTATCTATCTATCTATCTATCTATCTATCTATCTATCTATCTATCTATCTATTCGTTTCACTTCGATCCATTACTTTACAAGATAAGATCAATACAATTTTAACCGCAGGCTTAGTTCTGGACTCTATTTTGATATGGTTAATGCGTTCGTTAAGGTCTATTGACACAGAATGAGATTATGTTGAAAACCTATATTGTGTAAAAGAAATGCCTTCTAATTATTAATAGGCTACATACTTTTTGCATATATCTCTCTATTTAATTAAAATACTTTTATCAATGTATCTAAGAACACACACACACATACAACATGCATACAACACACACACACATATATAATTTTATATTCAAAATATTTAATTAACTATATGTACATTCTTCTGCATAGCGGTATTTGTTTGTTGTTTTTTTTTTCAGATCGAACCATGACCTCAGCAGATAAGCTGACATACGCAACTCGACCAGTTCTAATGTCTGCATAAAAATAGACAGAATAATGTGTTTAATTTCGCGTTTTGAGAGTTAAAATTCTTAAACAGAAATCAGTGTGATTGTGTGTGAACATATGCGATAGATTTTTTTAGATCGGCCTTTTGAAAAGCAGTAGACTGGTTATTGTTGTAGCTTAAGAACGCTTTCACGCCTTTCTGCACGATATTTCCTGTTCATTGTTGGATGTGGCATAAAGAATACGAAGAAGTTAGCGAATTCACTTACATATGTAGACATAATTAAATTAAATTCATTTAAATTAATTGCAGTTCTAAACGTTAATTCACTTCAGTGTGCGTCTTTAAGTTGTACCGATGAAAAGCTTTTCGTCACAAATACTTTAACCGAATATATTTTTTCTTTCTTTCTTTCTTTCTTTCTTTCTTTCTTTCTTTCTTTCTTTCGTTCCTTCATTTCTTCCTTTCTCTTTCTTTCGTTTCTTTCTTTATTTTTTTCCTTCTTTTCTTTCTTAGTTTATTCCTTTCTCTCGATTAGTATATTATTTGCTTTTACCTGTTTCTTTTTGTATTTTTCATTTTACTTCCTCCCTTCTCTCTTTCTTTCCTTTTCTTTCTTTCTTTCTTTCCTTTTTTTCTTTGTTTACTTTCTTTCTTTCGTCCCTTTCTTTCTTCTTCTCTGTCTTTTCATTCCGTTCTTTATTTCTTTCTTTTCTTATATAGTCTCTCTTTCTTTCTTTTCATTCTTTCTTTCTTTTCTTTCTATTTTTCTTTTCTTTCATTTTATTTTTCTTTCTTTTTCACTTTCTCTTTATTAATATATTCTTCGCTTTTACTAATTTCTTTTTTTTTATTTTTCATTTTACTTTTCTTTTTCTTTCTTTCTTTTCCTGTTTATCACTTTCGTTTTATTGATGTACTTTTTTGTTTTTGTCTCTTTCTTTTTATCTTTTTTTCTTTTTCTTTTCAGACTTTTGATTCATTTTCGTACGTTTCCCCACCCCTTTTCAAAATATCATTCCCTTCTTTCTTTCTAACTCTATTATTTTGGTTCTAAATTTGCAATAAATAAAACTTTATTCTATCAGTAATTCTCTTTTTCCTTTGCTTGTTTCTGACGCTATTTACGAGGGGATATGTTTTAAGCATTTATTTGAAATCTGGGCTGTTACCAAACACAGGCCACAGAGACTCTTGGGTTATATGTAATTATTTCAGCTAAGATAGAGTTCGTTAATATCAGAATATTCAGAATGTTTTAAATATATTGAACATCTTGCTATATTAGAATTATGTGAATTTTTTGCTACTATTAAATCTGTTCCAGTGATTGCGATGGTGTAATTTTAATTGTGTCCCCGCCAAAAAAAAAAAAAAAAAAACAACAGTATAATAAAAAAAAAGTATGTATTAAAATAAACAATCATAATGGTGAATGACAATTCTTCAATCTCACAGTAAATGGCCTGAACACATCCTGCGATATTCCAGGCATAAAGATATAAAACCAAGTTGTTTTTTTGTTTCTTTTTGTAACCATAAACCTAACCTTTAATATTTTCTCCCATAAAAAAAAACTAATGCTAAATGCGTTTTCGGATTACACCATTTTCGATGTCAGAAAAAACTGTAAAGATATTGCTCTTTAGTTTAAAGAGAAGGGATGTTAAATAAATATTGGAAAAGCTTGTGTGATTCGTATAGTAAATTAAAATTAAGCCAAGAATTTAAATCGAAACAACATATTATAACATCGAACTTTTTCATCTGCCAAGTTATTATTTACTATTTCAACTCGATTTTATATAAAATGGCCAATTTCTTATTTAAAACTATGTTAACCAATTTATCTATTTACTTGTAAAATATTCTCATATTTTATATTAAATTTGGTAATTACTTCATTTCTTAGGCTGGCTGCCCGTCTTACAAGCAGCGGCAAATATGCAGAACAATTATCGTTACAACACCACAAGGTATTAATAGTTATATTTCTACAATTAGTAGCGATTGTATTGTCAGTTTCGATCGCAAATCTTCCGTTGCTGTCGTCATTTGTCACTCATTCGCTGGTTGAGTTGTGAAGCAGCAGGCAGTTCATGAATCAAGTCGATGCACTACGGAGACATCCGCTTGTTGTCGTTAAGTGCAGACAGCATACATTAAATTAAAATTCATTGGCATTATTAAGTTAATATTTCAGAACGCTCTTTCACTTTAATCATGTCTATTTTCCTATCGGTCTCTGGATATAACACTTACTATCAATCATTTTAATTCCCACTTTCTCTCTTCCACCTACACTTACCTATGTCCTATTCCCATAGTCTCGCTATATATAATATAATCTTTCTTTGTTTCGTACATATATATATATATATATATATAATTAAAATGAAAGATTTCAAAATAAAATCACACATTGAAGTATTAAACAGGTATTTTGGTTTACAGAGATAATGTAATTTCCACGGGGATCCCTTTAACCAACAACAACAACATTCCTCAGAATAGTGAGTCCTATTTCTTTGCTTATTCCTTGTTTCCTTGAAAAGGACACAGGTATGTCCGAAAATTCTGACTTTAAAATCTTTCTCTTCTGGCTTCGGTTTAGTCAAATGGTCAGTATATAATAAATAATTATTGTCAAAATTGTTATCATTTCTTTGCCATTTTATTCCCCAAATTTTATCAACGGACCTGCTAAATTTACACACACACACACACACACATATACATATATATATATATATATATATATATATATATATATATATATATATATATATATATATATATATATATATATAAATGTTAGAAGATTACTTTGTGAAAACACAATATCATTGAATTCGCTCGCTCGAAGTTTATACTACTGTCTACTGATTATTTACTAATTGGGAGCTATTTGTTGCAACCAAATCTTTACTCGACTATAAGTAAGTAAATAAATTGTGATAGTACTCTATCAGCATTTGGTATTTATCTTCTTCAAAAAATATTTATCCTTGTTACGCTCAAATGGAAGCCTCACATCGACTTGCGAATCAAAAGAGTATTTTTCACACGTTTTGTTTTTACACCATTTCCGTGTTACTGCATTCAATGCATCTCATCAGGCGATTATAGAATCACTTGATGAGATGCATTGATACGCATCGAAACACGACTGCAATTGTGTAGCGATTTTGACATGTTTTTTGTGTAATATCCTTAAATAAATAATACTGTTCTACTTGTATTGGGCCCTCTTTTAAATTGAATGTTACGAACGTTGGATTTGGGACCCTATTCGTTCTCATCTCATCATCTGATATATATATATATATATATATATATGAATATAAAAGTGGACATTGAAGTCAACGTCTAGCATGAAACAGCCTGTCGCTTCTAAGTGTTGACTTCAATGTTCATTTTATATTTACACACGCTCTATGTCTGATATTGAGCACTTTCTCCCATAAATATAGTACACCTTAAGATTATATTTTATTATATATATATATATATATATATATATATATATATATATATATATATATATATATATATATATATATATATGTATGTATATGTATATTGGGGGTATGTGTTTTTAGACAATCGTTATATTTGTTTTTTATATGTTTATATTTGATTTGTAACCTGTAGTCGATATTAATTTTGTCAAATTTTCTTAATTACACAGCGGCCCTTTCAGTAAATGCCCTTCAGTTTTCGTTTCCCCGGCCCTATCTCTCTCCCCCACCCCTTTTTCTTTTCTTTTTCTCCCTCTCTTTTCTTCAGATCTTTAAGATTAGATCGTCTATTGTGTGTGTATGTCACCACAAAATGTATACTCTTTTCCGGTTATATCTTTAATGTATTAGAAATCAGAGAACACTCAAATTACTCTCACTTAACCCGTTTTTGATTCCCCTCTTTAAACTTCTTTCTGTTAAATCATAATCCCACCCTTTATCTTGAAACCTTCCCGTTCTTCTCTCGTCTGTTACCCCCTCCCCGTAGCTTTGATTTAATCTAACATTCGTCCCACACTCTCATACATACACACTCACTAAATTTCATTTTTTATTCCCGGAGTTGTTTTTTCTGTTTTCTTTTTGAATTTATTCTGATGAATTGGATCGTATTTACGATTCCAATTGATTAAATTATGACCATGGAATATTAGTGTTTAAGCCTTTTTATTATATATATATATATATATATATATATATAAACCTAGTGAGCCAGACAAACCTACCCAGGTTTCACCCAAGCCTCTACGGTTATATTGAGTTCTTTTGTTAGTTAGTTGTTTACTCGTGTTGGCTTTAAACCTGTATCTGTGCGATTTTTTTCGGCGGACTTTCATATTTCTAGCTCTTTCGTTTTTTAAAACTTTTTTTTTCCTTCGAGATTGATTTGATTATTGGCAAATCAAAAATTCGAAGGTTTGTCGAAACGTGTATAGTTACACACACACACACACACACACACACACACACACACACACACACACACACACACATTACATATATATATATATATATATATATATATATATACATACATATAAACTGAGGATTTTTTTTTTTTGTTGAATAAATATTTACCCCCTCCCCACTTAGGTTGTTTGTTTTTTTTTGTCACGTGATATGATTTTAGCTATCACCTATAAATATGTGTTTCTCTTTGCCTCGTTAACCAAACTTTCCCTGACGATCCGTTTAGGTGAAACCTAGGTAGGTTTGTCTGGCTCACTAGGTGTATCTATATATATATATATATATATATATATATATATATATATATATATATATATATATATATATGTGTGTGTGTGTGTAACATCCTACAAGCTCATGAGACAATTGCCATTAAAAAGAGTTAATTTAATTTCTGCTTTCTCTCCCTTCTCTATCTCTACTTCCACAGGAAATACCCGGACGAACTTCCTTCACAGCAAGATCACCCCATGCCAGTTATATAGTAGCAAAACACCCGGATTCTTTCCGTATTCCCTTGGTGAGAACTAAGTTCCACTCGAGCAGCTTCTTCACGCGTACTACTGCCCTGTGGAACCGACTACCAAAAAGATGCTTCCCCGATCACTACAATCTTAACCTATTCAAGGCTAGGGTTAGCCTTTACCTTCCACTACTACGCATACAAATAGCATTAACACATAACCCTCTACCTCGAGTTATCTTCGGTCCTTGTAAAGTCCGTAAAAATTTTAAAAGTATCTCAGGAAGGTGAGAAATTTATCAGAGAAACAGCTATTTTAGCCATTACCAGGCCTCTTTGGAAATGTATATGAATTTATAAAACCTTTTATTCATTTCTTAGGCATACTCCCTTGCTCATCATCACACTATAATATCATTTGCATGCCACAAGAATTGATTGAGAATGTCTAAATAATTATGGTACATATGCGCGCCATTCCTTCTAAATTTTGCTCTCCAAGGACTAGCAGTAAAATTTCTGCCATTGATAGTCAACCTTAGAAAATGTCATTGTGAATTCATCTACTTGACATATATACATAAATAGTACGGCGAAGTAACCAATATATTGGTGTCATTAATAGATGATGACAACGATGACGAAACTCTATTATAAATTCTGTTGGCTGTGCTGTTTATAAAGTCATCTTCTAATTAAATGCTTTTGCCAGTCAACCCATTAGTCAAAGCAGTACAGAGGATAAATGTCTTGTCGTTATCGTTGTCCAAATGTGTTGAGCGTGACAAGCGTCGAATTAGGATGTGACTTGGAGCAATATTCAACTTTCTTGATTGGTTGGCTCTCATTACCGGTTCCAGTC